TTTTTTTTTTTTTTTTTTTGGTATCTCTGAGTGTCCTGTTCACACCTCGGACATTGGACAACTGCCTGATCATACTACATTTGGTTACCGGCAATACATAGACTATTAAATCTTAGATAGTTGGCCACCATGACTTGAAACAGATGTGGAGGAAGGAATAAAGGAGTTCCTTCAGTCATCATAATCAAGTCTATGTTTTTCAGAAAGCAGCCATTCTTCCTACAAATCTGACGTTCCTATGGCGATGTTAGCAGCCCAGAGAAAAGTCACTGATCTAGATGAGGAAGCTCACGTTAGTGAACAGTGTAAGGACAAGGCCTCTCAAGTCAAGATTTAAGCCTCATTTAATAATCAGTAGTTGGAGCCCCCTATTTTAGTTAATGAAAACTGTGATACGTCCAGTCTAGTAATCTCAAACTACAATGAGATCTCATTTGGGAGTTTCAGGGGTCATTGATACAATAGCCTCTGCGAGGACGCTGCGGGATGGTCACGATGAACATCTCGAAGTTCTCAACCTGATTGTCTTATTCATTACCTTTTTCTTTTGGCATTATTAATTTTTAATACAACTACCCAGGATTGGAATATACGTGCTCTGTAAGGTTTTAGTTTTCTTTTCTTTTCATTTTTTTTTCTCTAAAAAAGAGGAAATTCCGTGGTAGGTGTTGGAAGATGGTAAACTGACACTGAGACACATACTTAGAAGCCACCAAAGTCAAGTCTCCTTTGTAGCATGGAGCCCTGATGATACAAAGTTGCTCACATGTGGACATGCCGAGGTCCTCAAGTTATGGGACGTTGAAACAGGTACCTGCAAGCACACATTTGAAGATCATGGCTTTACTGTCAGCTCGTGCGCCTGGTTTCCAGATTCAAAGAGACTTGTTTGTGGCAGTGCTGACCCTGAGAAGGGTATCCACTTGTGGGACTGTGATGGAAACGAGATAAAGGCCTGGAGGGGTACAAGGATGCCTAAGATACTGGATCTTGCGGTGACCCCCAATGGAGAAAATCTTATAAGCATTTTTTCGGATAAAGAAATCCGTATTCTTAATCTGGAGTCAAATGCCGAAAGAGTCATAGCGGAGGAGCACTCCATCTCATCATTATCAATCTCAGTTGATGGCAAGTTTTTCATTGTCAACCTCAACAACCAGGAGATACACATGTGGGATGTTGCAGGGGAGTGGCAGCAACCGCTGAAGTACACCGGGCACCAACAGAATAAGTATGTGATTCGGTCCTGCTTCGGTGGCGTGAATAGCGCGTTTATCGCCAGTGGTAGTGAAAATTCAGAGGTGAGAATCTGTGTTTATGCGTTGGCTTTCCTAATCCAAGCAGTTCCTTATCCAATTAACCTCATGAATTCTTATTATGCAGGTCTACATCTGGAGCAGGCAAAGCAGTAAGCCAATCGAAGTTTTGTCTGGACATTCAACGACTGTCAACTGTGTCAGCTGGAACCCGAAAAGGCCGAAAATGTTGGCATCGGCGAGTGATGATCAGACAATACGTATCTGGGGACCGGCATCATCTAAGAACGTCAAGCCTGGACAAAGTTCATGAAACAACTGGGTAAAAATCTCTTAAATTCGTGCAGTTAAAATATCCATAGCTTATGTTCTTTCTTGGATTGTATTATCATCATCTTCTATCTGTATATTTCGGTTGTCATCCTTCAAAATTTTGGCATTTAAGCTTCTTCTTGTAAAATCCATCTCGTGTGTTCTCTGTTACTGTCAATTCATTTTTGGGGAACTTAGACCACTAGAATTTGTTCAATAGCAATGGAGATTTTACACGCCTTCGATAGATATGGCCATTTCTTCATCTTTACAAGGCTTTGAAGAGGCAAAAGGCTCTGTATTTTAGAACAGAATTTCAACTCAAAGCTCTATAGCAAATGAATTGTTGCCATTTTCCTTCCCCTTTCGATGAGACATTCATAGTTTTGATGGAATATTTATTTCATTTGTTTGTGGCATTATGGAATCAAGTGGTTTAATTTACTATAATACCATGTGAAAATACCATGGAAATACCGTGGAATTGTTAAATTGACTTTAATCAGGCATATGGATGCAAATATTGTGGAATTTTGTGAAGTTTCAATTTTTCTCATTCACTAGGTTAAGAATCAAATAATTATGATACGTCAAGATTCCACAGGATTCCAAGTTATGTATAAATTTTAATGATAAAGGTAATAGATAATCATTGGTTATCATACCGGATTACTTATTTTCTCATGACAAATAAAGAATAAGAACGAGGATTTTGCATTTTCGCATTTTTCTTATAACGTTCAAACCAATTGAGCTGTGCGAATTCAATTGACTATTAACATCAATTTAAGAACAAGAAAACTTTGGTAAAATAAATAATAATAAATCAATCATGAAAACAAAATTTGCAAAATCACAGAACCAGCATTGACCTAAGCAAAAAGTTTGTATATATGCTACTTGATTAAATAACCTCATGAAGGAGGAACCCATCTCCCAGCTTTGAACTCTTTGTAAAATTTTGAGTTCCTTGAAACAACATAAAAGACTGCATCCAAAAGAATCAAATACAAAGAACACAGTTATTTTCAGTAGTTTTGATGCAAAGTAGTTATGATGTTAGAAAATGATTAAGGTAACAGTGCACCTGGTATTCCTGGTATAACATGGTTAGGCTTCTTTAGAACGTCGTGAAGCGTCGTCTTTTCATCGACTTTGATCCATTTAGAAGAGCCTTTATATGAAAAAATAGTGCACAGAAATCAGATGACAGTTTTGAGAGTATAATCAGCACACTCGAATATTGACCTTAGTTTTCTTTAGTGCAACAAATGGGGATGAGGATTTGAACTTCGAACCTTAAGGGAAGGATTACATGTCAATTACCGTTGAGCTTTGTCCACTTTTGCTTGAATATTGACCTTGTTGGGGTGTGAACATGTTTAAGTAAACAGAAAGATTGCCGAGACATAAATATCGATCCCGACAATCTCTTCCTTTGTGCGAGTTAATACATGCATATTTCGCCTCTAGAGTCATTTTTCTTTCCTTGCAATTGTACTTATATTTAAAAGACAGTTGCATGGATTCAAGTGTCCAGGATCAATAATGAAGAAGATTTGAGAAGATTTTTCAGACATAACCAAGGGAAATAATGGGACATTGAGAGGAAAACAGTGAACTTCCAATTCGAGGATGATGGATAGCTCATGAATAACTTATCGACTATCTTACCCCCTCCACAACGCCTATCGGTATGGCTAGAAGAAAATATTGTGCAAGTTTTCTTGAATAGAAGGAATGCAACACCAAATGGATCAAGAAATGCAACCGCCCTAACTCACCGCTAGCAAATATTGTCTTTTTTGGGCTTCCTCTCAAGGTTTTTAAAACATGTCTTCTAGAGAGAGATTTTCACACCCTTATAAAGAATGCTTCGTTCTCCTCCCCAACCGATGTGCGATTTCACAATCCACCCCCTTCAAGCCCCAGCGTCCTCGCTAGTACTTGTTCCCCTCTCCAATCGATGTGGGATCTCATAATCCACCCCCCTTTGGGGCCCAACGTCCTTACTGGCACGTGTTCCTCTCTCCAATCGACATGAGATCTCACAAGAACTATCTCCTACTTTCCTCCAAACAAATTCAACTATAAAACCATTTCATTATCTGAATGTCAGTCGTATTAACACCCAAATCATTTGACAGAGTTTTTTACATTCTAGGTTATACCATTCCCTAGGGGTTTATTGCAAAGAATGATAGGCCATGGAGGACCAATTGCCAAAGATTCCTTACAACATTGTGGAATAAAACACAATCTGGCACCCTACTTAATAAGGTATACATACGTCCAAATGACCAATAGGGGAACCATTGATGGAAGAGATAAAATGATGTGGGCGTCGGTCATTAGACCGTATGAAATAGTTAAGTGTTGTTTTTGTAGTTAGTGTCGAACTCTTGTTTCATCGGGGGCGCGTTTTTTTTTTCTACGTCATCGTATTCCTCTAATTCTTAAAAAAACAAAATAACGGGTAAAATTGCTTACTTGCAGAAGTGATATGATTTGAATCTTCAACTTCATCTTTCTCATCGAGCGCAATGCTTTCAACATTAGACGCAGCGGTTCCCTCTAGAAGATTCCGTAAAATTTTCTCTTTTGATAAACAAATTCCTGAACCAGCCTGATACAACCAGCACATAAAGATTAATATTTTGGACCAAACAAATTGATCGTCTCCTGTCACAAGTACATAAACTAGCTAAGCTCACATAACTTATGTATATACAGAAACTTGCAAAACGCTTAGTAATAGATACCTCATAGTATAGTTCAACTGCTTCACGGGTATATTTGTTCTCCGCATCCCACGGCAAAGGTGGACAATCTTCTGAAAACATGTTTGAAAGCTAAGGATTCCCAAATTTGTCAATTCAAATGAAAATCATCACACAAATTCTCAACTAAAAATCTGAAGGATATCATATCCAGATGAGCTGCAAACATATCAGTCTCACAGAAATCCTCAATGAAGTCACTGGACATAACCTCTGCATACAGTAGAAGAACTGGCCAATGGAGAATGTTATTTTTATCTAATACAGGCTTTCTTAATCCAGTTAGTTCTTGATACGACGCGCTCCCAATCTTCAAACCTCGTTGCATGATTGCAGAAACAAGCTTCTGCGTCGTTTATATAATAAAACATGAATTGAGCAGCTAAATGATAAAGAAAAAGTATGATCATAGATTGTACATTACGAAACCTTTGCCTCTGCAATCGCTTTTGTGACTAAAGCTTCGCGTTGTTCCTGCTCGAATTTCAGCGAATCAATCTGTCTCTCGAGATTTTTGATTTCTACATTATTTGGGTCACACTTTATCCCACTGACACAATAGGACTTTGCTTCATCTAATAAATTCAGGGAAAGAGATGCTTTAGCAGCTCGATAAATTGCCTACATAACAATCACGTCGTTTCATTAAACTATATAATTTTAATATAAAACATAGGTCGAGCGAGAGGGAAAGTTAAAAGATTACAACATTGATGGGATCTTTTTTTCCTAAATAGAGTAATAACAGTTATAAAGTAACAAGAATATAAGGAAACACACGTATTTGGAAGAACAAAATAACTACCTTGATGTTTGTGGGACACAAATTGATTGCTTCCTCAGCATCGCTAAGAGCTCGTCTATAGTTTCCGAGTAGTAAATTCACGTGAGCTCGATTTGAAAAAATAATAGAGTTCTCAGAGTTGCTTAGGGATTTCTGATTTATTGCTCTGGTGTAGCAATCAATAGCATCAGCATAGTGCTTTCTTCCCAACCTGACAAATTGATTCCCCTTTTCCTGCAAAGAGAAAATAATAGGAAACTTACAAGATAAAACCAGATTGATGGAGTTCATTTAAACTTGAAACTCACAACTTGTTTATCAAATGAAACAAAGACACGAGCAATTAAAGGGCGTGTTTGAGAGTAATTGTGAAATTGTTAAAATTACTTCTCAAAATCAATTTTAACATTTAAAAGTATAAAACCAAACAATTAAAGACATGTTTCATAGTGGTTTTAAACATGAAAAAAGTGATTTTACTCCTTTCAAAAACACTCCCATACATGCGTAAAGGCTATGGTTAAGAAGCACAGATACAAACTCGAGACATGGATGCAACACAACAAGAATACATTTGTAAAACTATATCACTTTTATTGTAACGGCTCAAGCCCACCACTACTAGATATTGTCTTCTTTGGGTTTTCTCTTTCGAGTTTCCCCTCAAGGTTTTTAAAACACGTCTGCTAAGGAGAGGTTTCCACACCCTTATAAAGAATGCTTTGTTCTCCTCCCAACCGATGTGGTCTCACATTTATACATGAAGCAAATTCAAAGTTAATAAGTTTATGCATTTACATGCTCACAAAATGAGTTTGATGTATTTCGCTCTCAAATTTTATTCAAAGTTGAGTGTTTGATATGTGTCTAACAAATGTTGGACTTACATTGACTTTGTACAACTATTATCTAACATCAATATGTGTTCAATAAGTGTTGGGGTGTCCAAGTGTCCAACACATGTCGAACACGGACAAACTAGTAGTAACAGCCCAAGCCCACCACTAGCAAATATTGTCCGCTTTGACCCATTACGTATCGCCATCAACCTCACAGTTTTAAAACGCATTTGTTAGGGAGAAGCTTCCACACCTTTATAAGTAATGCTTCATTTCCCTTTTCAACCAATGTGGAATCTCACACTAGTCATACTAAAGTGTTCTTGATTCTTAGGACTACGGTTTCAATTGCACACCAATTTCAAGTCCAACTACTAATCTGAAATAGATTACGGGATTCAGAAACTTAATCTTCCCATCACAGAGAGCAGTTTTTACCAATTTTTCAACAACATGCATATGTAAAGCCACCACAACCAGATTCAACACTCACAATACTCATACTAAAAAATTAAAATAAACAATCAGATCAATATTTTCAAGTGATCACCTCCTAAAGTACTCTTGAACATTGGCATACCCATCTCTAAAACAAAATAGAACGAAAAAGAGATAAACATTCAATAAAGAAAACAAATATCCTTGCCAAGAACTACGAGCTCAATTCAATCACTTTAACTCGCGTCCAACTTCTTGTAACAATTGAGAGCAATTAAGCAAACCACACGAATTTAACAGCCCGCGGTTAACAAATCAAGCAACATAACAATGAAGTCCTCCGCAACAGCCAAAATATCGATTTCAAATCATTTGAAGTCAAAATTTCATTTAGAACACGCCAAAACGTAAATATGATATAGAGAGAAACCTTGAACTCGAGAGCAGAACTCTCTTTAAGGGCAGCTATGGCGTCAAGGTCAGCTTTCTCGTTCTCTGTTAAGGGATCCGAACCATCCTCCATCCATAGCGCCATGTTTCGCTCAACTCAACTCAGCTTCAACCTAGCGAAAAATGGAAGAGAGGGAAGAGGGAAATACGGGAGGCAGTGTGTTGAGAAATAACGGCGGGTAGATTGTCCAAAAAAGAATTTTTTTTTTTTTTTTTTTTTTTTTTTTTTTTTTTTTTTTTCCCTCCTCCCTTGAATTTCGTATTTTTAAGATTAAATTTATAAGAATATCTAATTTAAAATTTTTAAAAATAAAACATAATTTTAATTTAAGAATTTTAATAATATTCTTAAATTTATAATATATATATATATTTTTTTTTAATTAATTTTGGATTTCATATTTAAATACATTTAAACTTTTAAAATTATTTTAAAATGATGAGAGACTTTTGCAAATTTTATTAACACACTTAAATTAAAAAAAAAATGAAAATAAAAATAATTTTTAACTTTCACACCCCTTAAACATTTTTTAAAATAAGGTATTTAAATAAAATCGTTATTAATCATTTTCAAAAATAAAAAATTCTTACTATTGGCAATAATTTGTCACTTCTCATCTATTTTCCTTTTTATTTCAAAATATTATTTATTAATTTTTAAAATTTATCTATAAATAGTTTAGTCTTTTTTATTTTTTAACTAGAAACTAAAAGGGCATTTGAATAAGTATTTAAATTATAACAAAATTTTAATAGGTCTATATATATATATATATTTTGTCTAACAAGTCCCTGTAATTTAAAAGAAAGAATATGTAGTAATTTAATTTAATTTCTAAGAGATTAATTAATTTTAAAATAAAAAGTTTGAAAATTTATGATATTTTAAAATTATTAAAAATTAAAATTCGAGCACCAAATGTAACCAAATTAACGAAAGGGATAATATCTTCCAACGGAATCATTTAATTAATATATTTGGCCTGAAAATTTCCGAACCGATGCTATCGTTGTCCTCGTCCTTTATCCACTCCGCCGTTGTTGCGCGCAGATAGTTCCTGAGAAGGCGTTGGTTCCTCCGTCGGATTATCCAAGCTTCCATTTCACTTTCTGGATTCACTATCGGAAGTTCGAGTAGAGAAATGTAGGTCACGAACAACTCCAGTGCAGCCTTTTCGATTCTTCCATGCTTCTTCTTGACTGGAGTACGGGGATTTCGGCCATTAATTGTTGTATTTGTTCTTCCGTGGTTGATTTTTTGATTCGACAGGGATAATGAATTGAAGCCGATGGACGCCGAGCAACTCAGAGAGCATGCTCATAAAATGGTGGATTTTATTGCTGATTATTACAAAACCATCGAGGATTTCCCCGTGCTCAGCCAAGTACAGGTCGCATTGCCTTTCCGTTCATACTTTTGCTGTTCTTAGGATCCATTGCATTTAGTTTTACTTGTTAATTACTAAATGAAAATTACGTATGACGCCTGTGTGAATTAGACGTTTCTCGAAGTGGTAGAAGAAAATTTCATCTATAACGCTGTTCCATTATTGTTCAAATCTATTTGAAATTTATTCATGACCTAGTTTCATCATTATTCAATGTTATTCATAAGTATCTTTCACTTATCAGTATTAAAATATATATTTTTTTGGTTTTGTATTATGATTCTGTAACCATTCTTGATTTACAAGTTGAAGTTGATAGTATTTTGTTTTCATTCAATCTTCTTTTGCTTATGGTTTTTGAAGAAAAGGTGTTTATCATTTTTTTCCACTCATTTCTCAAATTTCTTTCTTAAAATTAAGAACAAAATGAAGAAAATTAATTTTATTCATGCATACTCAAAACTAATACAAAGTTTGAAGTTTCATTTTATTATTTAAATTTGGCTATAATTTCTAAAGTGAGTTTAAAAAGTACTAAAGCATATTGAAAATAAAGCGTCATTAAAATGGGTGATAATTTAATGGTCTAATAATCTGTTGTTTTAATTTCCATCTATGTAGAATTTACTTTTATTTTAAAATAACAAAGAAATAACGAAAAAATTTATGCGAAAATGAGCATAGTTCAACTATTATTGACATGTATTCATCTTTTCGAGGTTGGAGATTCAAATCTTTATCCCCATACTAAAAAGAAATAAGAAAAAAGGAGTCACCATTTAATTTTTCTTTTTCTTTCTTTTGGTGATGAACAGCCCGGTTATCTTCGAAATCTTCTACCAGAATCTGCACCTCGTAATCCAGAATCTCTTCAAAGTGTTCTTGATGGTAAAGTTTCTGAATCTTGTTGTGCAAGTATAACTAATACCCCAAAACGTTTGGACTTTTTTTTTTTCCTGCTTGAAGTGTAACATAATTTGAAATTATTGGCTAATATTTTAAAGCATGATTCTTTTTAATATAAAAAAGACTGCAAAGTCAATAAAATGCAAATAAGAATGTGAACTCCCTAGACTTTTCTATTAATGTTTGGGTTTTAGATAGTTCAACGGGCCTTGTAATCATATTGTCGATGAATTCGTTTCGTGATTCAGATGTTCAGAAAAAGATTTTTCCGGGTGTAACACATTGGCAGAGTCCCAGCTACTTCGCTTATTATCCTTCCAACAGCAGCATTGCTGGATTTCTTGGGGAAATGCTCAGTGCAGCTTTTAACGTTATCGGTTTTAGTTGGATAACTTCTCCAGCTGCTACAGAACTTGAGATGATAGTTCTTGATTGGCTTGCCAAATTACTTCAGCTGCCTGATGACTTTCTCTCATCAGGTAATCCCATCGATTATGATGTTGGTTTTGATTGTTTTGTGGTGAAAAATGAAGCTTTCTGCCGCTTTTTTTGTACTTTTGAATCAATTTAAAGTGTCTGTTTCATATTTCCAAGTCTCCTGCTGCAGGAAAAGGTGGGGGAGTAATACAGGGTACTGCCAGTGAAGCTGTTTTAGTTGTGCTACTGGCGGCCCGTGATCGAGCTCTGAGAAGATTTGGAAAAGATTCCCTTAAAAAATTAGTGGTTTATGCTTCTGATCAAACGCATTCTGCTTTACAAAAAGCATGCCAGGTAAGGTAGTTTGAAGGTGTAATATTCATGTTCTTTAAAATAAATGTCCTTCAATGAGGTAATTTGTCACATCATTTACATATTTAAATTATAAATGATGCAATGATCTATTGAGAATTGTTGGGAGACGAGTCCCACGTCGACTAATTAAAGGGTTGATCATGAGTTTATAAGTAAGGAATCTATCTTCATTGGTAGGAGATCTTTTGGGGAAACCAAAAGCAAAGCCAAGAGAACTAATGCTCAAAGTGGACAATATCATACCATTGTGGAGAGTCGTGGTTTCTAATATGGTATTAGAGTCATGCTCTTAACTTAGCCATGTGAATAGAGTTCTCAAATATCGAACAAAAAAGTTGTGAGCCTTGAAAGCGTAGTCAAAAGTGACTCAAGGCTCTAGAGAAAGAGTCGAGCCTCAATTAAGGAAAGGTTGTTTGAGGGAAGGATGGTTGGGAGGGGAGTCCCACATCAAGGGGTTGATCATGGGTTTATTTGTAAAATGATGATGACTGAAAGGAAAGTAATTTGGTAAGAAGTTGGCTAAATATATTATTTAAGAACCAAATGCCTTAAGGTCATAGATATTATTTTCATTGTCAGTTGCTCAAATAAATATGGACTCCAAAGAAAAAACTCCTGGCCTATTTAAATGTGTATTTTTGTTCTGTAGATTGGAGGCATTCATCCTGAGAATTGCAGATTGTTGAAAGCAGATTTTTCTACCAATTATGCCCTTTCTCCAGATGTTCTTTCTGAAGAACTTTCACACGACACAGCCAGTGGATTAATTCCATTTTTCTTATGTGCTACAGTAAGAATGAAGAATAAGCTTACTCATAAGCTCATTTCATTGAATACATGTTGCTGCAGTATCTATGGTTCCACACCCCATCTCCCCTCTTTATCGGGTTTCGGTAAAACTCGTGCAGTCTCTACTATTTGACATGGTAGAAATTAACAGTGGCCTTTAGAAGGTCATCAGTGAATTGCCCCCTCCTTCCTTCTTCGCTTCACTCCTTCGTTTCAGTAATTACAGATTTGGTGCTTTTGCATGCAGGTTGGCACTACATCATCAACAGCCGTAGACCCTCTCCCTGAACTAGGAAATATTGCTAAGGTCAGCACATTTTTTCTTCCTGAATCAAATGCTGTAGTTTCTGAATTTTTAGAATTGTTCTACTTTGATTATTTAAACTTTCAAATTGCACATTTTGGTCCCAAACGTTCAAGTTTATTTCACTTTGGTCCCTAAAATTTCAAAATGTCAATTTTAGTCCTTGAAAATAACTATTTTAGTCCACATGTTCAATGCTTGAAATCATGTTTATATTAACATATTAATACATACTCTAAGCTGTGCGATTAATTTATTAAAAGCAAAATGAAGGTAAGAACTAAAATTATTAATTTTTAAAAGTTGAATAAGTCAAATAGACATTTTAAAAGTTCATGGACCAAAAAGAGATTTAAACCTCTTAAGAATGTTTTGTTTGAAAGCAAAAGGGAATATTTTGACAAGCCTCACTATATTTGTAATAGCTCAAGCCCACTACTACCGGATATTGTTTCCACACCCTTATAAGAAATACTTTGTTTCCCTCTCTAATCAATGTGGGATCTCACAATCCACCCCTCTTGGGAGCTCAGCGTCCTCTCTGGCACACCGCTTAGCGTCTGACTTTGATACCATTTGTAACAGCCCAAGCCTACCGCTAGTAGATATTGTCTTCTTTGAGTTTTCTCTTTCGTGCTTCCCCTCAAGATTTTTAAAACGCATCTACTAGGGAGAAGGTTCCACATTCTTATAGGAAATGCTTCGTTCCCCTCTCCAACCAATGTGGGATCTCACAATATTAACCATTGGAAAGAGAAAGTTCTATTCATAAGATTTTGTTCGACATAATGCAGTATCCAAATAACTGAAGTGGAATCACATGCCCTTACATTTTAGCATGTTGTGGAACTTGAAAGGCAACCAATGAGATGAATTCAGACCTTATTCCTCATCTCTCACAGAATAAAAAGCTTACGTTAGGCATACTAATGTTAAGGTTTAAGGATGATGAATTTGATCATTAAGCAGATAGAAGATGTAATATGAGTGAAGCATGGGGATTATGTAATTGGAAAGGCTACAGCTACAGCTAAATTGAGTTTCCATTTGCTCTGCTAGCATGATATACAAAGTACATATTTGTAAAAAAAAAAACTATATGTTTTTGTGTTATGATTCATAGATTTGCTCTGATTGAATTTTAGCCAAATTTTTTTTATCATGAGCAAAATCCTTGCTATTGACAGAGTTATGAAATGTGGTTTCACATCGATGCTGCTTATGCTGGAAGTGCATGTATATGTCCCGAATATCGACAGTACATTAACGGTGTTGAAGAAGCTAACTCATTCAATATGAATCTTCATAAATGGTTCTTGACGAACTTTGATTGTTCAACGCTGTGGGTCAAGGTATATGTATAACAATCTTTCTGTCATTTTGCATATGATTCTGGGCATCATTGATAATTCAAGTGTTATGACCACAGGACAGACATGCCTTGATCCAGTCACTTTCTACCAATCCTGAGTTCTTGAAGAACAAAGTAAGTCCGACCTACAATCTGCCTAATTTGTTGAGAAATCTTGCAACTGAATATTTGAGCTGTGTTAATGCGAGTAGAAATGGCAATTATTGGCTTGTAGTGTTTGTATAACTATTTTACTTGCTGGATCTTAATTTCTTCATTGATATTGCAGGCCTCTCAAACAGAAATGGTTGTGGATTACAAAGATTGGCAAATTCCACTTGGGCGCCGTTTTAGGTGTGCCTTCAAAACAATATATGTCTAAAATGGTATATACATTTTCAATCTAAGGGTTATTAATATGAATAATGTGACCAGAAGACACTTGATATCCATATCTAGACGTCGTTACGGTTCTGAAAAATCAGTATATCAATCAAACTTTTTGAAACCTTTGGGATGGAGAAGAAATTGCTCCGGATGACCTTGCTTGAACATGATCTCTGTTCTATAGGTTGTAGAATTGTGTTCTTGAGTTCAAGTACTCCGCAATATGTTTCAGTTTGTTGTATCATTACAGGAATATTTGGTATGAGCATTTTCTATTTTACTCCATGTTTCTGTGAAATGTTATACAGTCAATAATCCTATGCTTTTCTGTCTTAGATCATTGAAGGTCTGGATGGTGTTACGACTGTATGGTATAGAAAACCTTCAAAAATACATAAGAAACCATATCAAGTTGGCTGAACATTTTGAAGCGCTTGTATGTAAAGATCCAAGGTTTGAGGTAAATTCTTATCGTACTCTTTTAGTTTGTAGTTGTTACGGTCCAAGCCCACCGTTAGCGGATATTATCCTCTTTGAACTTTCCCTTTCAAGCTTCTCTTCAAGGTTTTTAAAACGCGTCTGTTTGGGAGAGGTTTCCTCACCCTTATAAAGAATGCTTCATTCTCCTCCCCAACCGATGTGAGATCTCAAAATCCACTTCCCTTTGGGACCCAACGTGGCACACCGCCTCGTGTCCACCCCCTTCCGTGCTCAGCCTCCTCGCAGGCACATTGCTTAGTGTTTGACTCTGATACCAATTGTAATGGTTCAAGCCCACTGCTGGCAGATATTGTCATTTTTGGACTTTCCCTTTCAAGCTTCCCCTCAAGGTTTTTAAAACGCATCTGCTAGGGAGAGGTTTCCACACTCTTATAAAAAAGGCTTTGTTTTCCTTTCAAACCGATGTGGGATCTCACAGTAGTATTGCTTCCTTTCCTACGACGTGAACTTCCAACCTCAAAGGAAGGAATACATGTCAATTACTATTGAACTATTCTCATTTTCGCTTGAAATATATCCATAGCATCACAGAATAGTCAATTCATAATCTAATGGCATTCTAGGAAAAAGGAGAAGAAAATTTATGTGCAGTGAATAATAAGATCAAAATGTTCGGTGCCCGCTAATGCAGGTACCCCGTGTATGGTACGTTCAAATCGTCATTCTTAAGTTTCTTTGTGCAGATTGTTACACCAAGGATATTCGCTCTAGTATGTTTTCGCCTTCTTCCTCGCAAAAATGAAGATGGTGGCAACAAACTAAACCAAAACCTATTAGATGCTGTAAATGCTAGTGGAAATATGTTCATTTCTCACACGGTGAGTTGTTTCAGTTTGTTGGATCCTAGAAGTCTCCAGCCAGTCATTGTCTTGTCAGTGTAAATACGCTAAGTGACTGTCTTGATATAATTAAATTTACTTGAATCCATTACTTAAATTCAAAGTTTAATGGTGATTTAATATGATATTAGAATAGGAGGTTAAGTCAACCTTATTTTTTGAGGTCCGAACACTGAAGTTTTTGGTTGATAGGCAATTTAACGTACGGTATTCTTATTGTGGCTGTCTTGATATTAAATTTACTCGAATCCATTAGCTTAAGTTTAGTGGTGATTTAATATCATATAAGAATAGGAGGTTCGATGTTCGAACACCTGAATTGTCATATCCTCCCTAAATATATTGATTTCGGTTGACTTAAGTTTTTGAGTTGATTGGTAATTTAACGTACGGTATTCTTTTGAGAAAATACGAGGAGAAATAAGAATAAGCCTTGCTTTTATTAACTTCATTTGAACAAACTTGCAGGTTTTATCAGGAAAATACATCCTTCGATTTGCAGTAGGGGCGCCATTGACAGAGGAAAACCATATTAATGCTGCTTGGAAGTTACTGCAAGCCGAGGCTTCCGCTTTGCTTGCAAATTGAAACGTACGTTCTTTATCTTAATTTCAAGTTTTATTTCACTTCAAATTTATAAGAAAACATCATATTTCATGGTATCAATATTTAGAGCATGATCTCTTTTTCAGGTTTAGTTTATATTATATAGAAAAAAATAATAGTAAAACTAAATTAGAAAATCATCAGAAAAATGTATAGGAACTAGCTAATAAACTATATAAAATTCAACCACAAAATAATCAAAATTAAATCACATCCACTGCAACCAGAAGAAATAGTACTAAAAAAACTAATGTTAGAACAATTACCATGGCAATTCTCGTCTTCCAATTTAACCGAAAATAAAAAAGTTATAGGGTTAAAATAAAAGATTTCAAAGGGTAACGATATGATCGAAACTTTTCTTAATGTTATGATATTCCGTATAGCTTAGAACAAAAAATCAAAAGGCAAGAAGTGAAAATAGTGAGAAAACAACTGCCAAACAACTCGTATACATGAAAAATATCAATCAACCATCTCATGGGTTGCCCCAAAAAAGCCAGCAATTGAACCCTTAGAACATGTCAGAGGGGCCATGACATTAAATTCTTGATTCAAGACTACTGTTATATTAACATCTAAAGCTTTAAATATTCATACAAGAGAGAGGATGATTGAATCCTGACCGTTGAAAAACTACAAGAATAATCTGTAAACATTATAAAATACCAAAATTTATAAGCCCAAATGCAGAAGTTAGGCCTAAGAAGAGAGTCACCCCACAATGTGAAATGATTAGAATTGTGAGCTTAGTGGCAGCCCACCCAACCAAATTTAATAAAATAAGATGATTCCATACCTGCAGACATGGCCTTCCCAACACTTAGGGCTATAATTTAATGCTCAAAATCAATCATTAATGAGTCTAAGGACCACTAACAATTTACCATTTTGATTTATCTTTTTTTTTTTTTTAAATTTGGTTTACTCCTTTACTTCTGGGGTTATTGTCCTTGTTCTGCAAACTGTCTTTGATTCACAGCCAGGTGATGTTATCGATAAATTCCAATTCTATGGTCAACTTTGACTACTCCACCTTCACCTTTTTGCTTTTTGTTTTCATTGTTTTGGCAAGAAGTCAAAAATAGAGGTGTTTGTGATTTACCTACCCTTGTGATGCAAATTGGCTGAAACATTCTTTCCTTCTTGAAGTTGTTCACTTCCTTTCTAGAAGCTAAAAGTAATGACTTCCATTGTCATAGAAAGAAAATCCCAATTAGAGAAAGGGAGAGAATAGGTGTTGATTTCTTTCCAAATCCATTTAAATATAATCATGATTAGTGTTTTAAATAAATGAAGAGAAAAAAGTTAAGGTGGAGGGTTGACTTTTTGTTTTTGGGAGAAAAAAAAGCTATAAATTTAAGAAATACGATTGATTCGTTTGTCAATGCAAATTTAGGTGAAGAGAGTTCGTAGAACGAAAAAAATAGGTCAAGTTACAAAAATGTAGACCTCATTTCAGATTCTAATATTTGCTTGAAGTACTAGAGGATTTCTATTTCAATGGTCATTTTGAAATGTTTGTAAAAGGTGAGAAATATTGAAACTTTTTCAAAAAAAGTAAAGGTACTCTTGAAACATAGGACAAAGTTCAAGGATATTTCAATCACTCACTGAGAGTGATCGACAAGTTATTGAAAATTATTTTTCTCACTACGATTCGTTAAAGCTAAAGTTCTGTTAACAGGAGTATGAGGTAGAATCTCTTCAGGAAATATAAGATTTTCATGAGGCCGATTGTAACGATAGGAAAAATAAAAAATAAAAACGCCAGTGGATTGCCAAAATTCTAGCGAATGTTATGATATGAGAAGACACTAGGGGGTTGTATTAATGATAACTAAAATGGAAAATATTGGGGCCTCATACGTTATTGTTTGCTCATGCATCAGGGATACCCCTATTCCTTCATGACAGTACAAATGTGTATGCTACTAGTTAGGGGAATGTTCATTATGTTTGACATAGTGTTTCGTGAAGGTCGCTACTCCTTACGGGTGTCCAACATCAACGCTACTAGAGAACGTTCACCTGACCAGAAAGGGGCCCAGGAGGTGTGCGAACCAACTGGTAGCTCCATACTCGCACATGTGGACCATGTGTGAAAATTAATTACACATCCAAGTAGTCCATTATAATAGCCACCGTAGGAAAATAGATTGTTATGAGGTCACATGCATGTAACTGTGCGTGTGTGGTCATTTTATGAGTATTTTTAAAAATACTCAAGTCATGTGCTACTCTACTTTTCAGGTAAAAGGCAAAGCTCTCCTGTACGGCCGACGGTGGCATCGCATCTACGAGACTGTGGCACATGTTTAGGATAGTTTCGTATTTAAATTTTAGCATATTATAGGTTAGTATAGGTTAATTGCATTTCCATTTAGTAACATATAGGTTAGTATAGAGCATTTCATGACCTTAGATTAAGTAGAAAATTTAGGGTCATTATATTGATTTTGAGCTATGAATACCTTCGTTTAATAGTATTGTTTGGTATAAACCGTCTCAAATTCAAGATTTTTCCATGAATTTATTGAACACGACTCATTAAGACCAATTGAGAAGAGATTACAAGACACTCAATAAAATATCACTTCCTCTAATGCGGGATGAAATTTGAGTAGGGTGGAGGACTACTTATAGAGACAATAACAATTTATTCTTAAAATATTTAATCATTTATTTCTAAAATATATAAATGATTTTTCTAAAATATTTAGTATCCATTATCCAATAAAAAGCGATGTGATGGGCTCTAAATATTCTTTATAATAACCGATGATTGAATTTCATCCTCATGTGATCGCTTATGAATCTAAATTGCTTTAGTTTAAAATCAAATTCTTTAATCCAACAAAATTGGATTGGTTTAATAACGTAAGAATAATCGATCCGAACATAATTCAATTGAAAAATAGAAATTCGAGTACTATTTTTGAGTTGCTATATTCGTGACCGACATGATTTAGGGTTTGCAACCTAGAACGGTGCAGTAGCGTTTGAGTCTAAAATTTTATTCCAGGTCACTGTCTTGGGATGTGAAATAGTATGAGGATGACCTAAATGGTTTGACGATGTTGAGGTATTGATTTTCATTCCCGATCATTGTTACACTGTTTCAAGTCCTAATTTTTGTTTAACGTTCTAACAAACTTCTACTCCAAGTTTCAAGTTAGCCTCACATTTTTGCTGGGTCTTAATTTTATTTGTCCAATATTCTTATAGGCTTTTAAGGATTTTTGAATCAGATGCGCTCGCCTAATGAGAAATGTTCCTTGCTTCTATGATCTTAGGAGCACGGGTTGTAATGGGTCCAAAGAATCTCAATAATAGTGTCGGTTTAGAATTTGATTCTCAGGGATAAAGCTTCGTTTATCTCCCTCCTTGACCCGAGTCCCTATGTCTGCTCTTCTCCGTCGAAATGGAGCATCTAAATAATAAAAGAAAGGTTACTTTCCACTGCAATATTCTAACAAATTTAATGATAGTTTTGAAACATTTATGAAAGATGAAACGTGCATCTTTTAAAATATTATATTTATATATTTAAAAAAGTTAAGATTTTTTTAAATGATATATTTGAATAAATAAATAAATAAACATTCTTTAAATATTAACAAGAGACAAATAAATTATTTAAAATAAAAAAAAAACAATATTTTCACTAGAGACAAATAAATTGTTTGAAATAACAACAAATTTTGTTTGTTAAAAAGGGAATATGTTAAACTCTTTTTCGAGGGATTACCTTCGGATTTAAAAACCCTAAATCATTTAAATTTATTTTTTCCACCAAATAAAATCACAAATTTTCTATATAAAATAATATAGATTTTTTAATTAAATGTTTATTTCTTTTTTCTGCCAATTATGGTAATGCTTAAAAATATTTATAGCAATTAAATAATTAAAACCAGTCAAATCATGCTAACGGACCCCACAAACCGAGTGAAGGTGATCCAACTTTACATCCAATCCCTGCACTCCACGTGTATTTATTTATATTTTCATTTAATATCTAATTATTTAGTGTAATTTTGTTGGAAAACTTTCAATTTTACCCGTTTTTTAAATTTATTAAATAATAAATTAAAAGTTTAAGTGCGGTTACGGGTACAACCCCAAGAGAGTAGATTGTGAGATTCTACATCTGTGATAGAGAAGAGCGAAACATTGCTTATAATCAAAGTATAAAAATTTTAATTAACAGACGTATTTTAAAACGGTGAGGTTACAATTTTTAAAATTTTAAATTTATCAGATTTGTTAAAAATAAAATAAAATATTTAAGAATTTATTAAGGTAAAAAAAAATAAAAGGTTGACATTTTTATTTTAAAAAATTATTTTCGAAATTTCCGGCATGGGATCAAATTTATACAAGCGGACACGTGGACTAGTAACACGTGGCGCAATCGTAGCGACTACCGACAAAAGCCCAGTACCGTGGGCGGATCCCTTCCCTTCGCGGTACAAGGCGTCACCGTTTCTCTTATATTACTTTGCCAATTCGTTCCCTTTTCTCTCGCACAGCTCATAGAAAAGCTCTCGAAAATCGGGGAGAATTTCCACTCCTAATTCTCGGAAGCATCATCTAGATTACTCTGTAAGTCTCTAAATCTCGTTTTCTTCCGCCATTGCTGCACTTCTCTGAAGATCTATTCTGATTCCTTTTCAATTTGGTTCTTGTTTCTGTTTTTTGCTTCTAAATGTTATGTAACCGACCAAAGCATCCAATAATTTGTTGTGTTTCGGGATTTCATATAGTGCAATGTTTTATTGTGTTGCATCTTCTTTCTATCTCGCTAGATTCGGTCGCATTGCCCGACGTTTATGCACAAAGTTTGAATACTGTGGTTTCTATTTCTAATTCTTGGTTTTGTATTGCGTTCGACAGTATTTTCGATCGGTTATTTCGCATCAAGCGCAGTCGAGCAAGGTATTGGTGTTTTTTCTTGTTGATTTTGGGATTTCGAGATGGATTTGTGAGTGATTCTTGCGAAATGGAGACCTGGCGGTCAGCCGGATTTGGTGGTTCCATCCTATGAGACGCCGGCCGTTAGGGATTGCCCCGTCGGAGCTCATGGAGCGAGGAGCCGGGAAGAATCAGAACTCTCGGCTTTGTTTTCTTGTGTTATTGTCGGCGTTCTTCTGGATCCTATTGTTGTGCTTCCATTTTGTGGTGCTTGGAGGTCAATCTGATGATGAATCAATCAAATTAAACCCCCAAAATGGACCTGTAGACTTGCCTGTAGTCCGGAAATTTGCCCCTTCACGGATGGTCGATGCACCGAAAGTCGATGTGAGATCAATCCGCGAGCCTCCTCAGCCTGTGGACCGGCAGCCTAAATCCACCGCCGTACCTGAGATTCAGGAATTTCCGTTTGTTAAGGCATTGAAAACTCTTGAAAACAAGAGCGATCCATGCGGTGGGAGGTATATATTTGTTCATGAACTTCCTTCTAGGTTTAATGAGGATATGCTGAGGGAGTGTAAGAGTCTAAGCCTTTGGACAAATATGTGTAAGTTCACAACTAATGCTGGGCTTGGTCCACCACTTGAAAATGTGGAAGGAGTGTTCTCAGATACAGGGTGGTACGCCACAAATCAGTTCGCCGTCGATGTCATTTTCAGTAATCGAATGAAGCAATATGATTGTTTGACTAAGGATTCTTCCATTGCTGCTGCTTTTTTTGTGCCATTTTATGCCGGATTTGATATTGCGAGATACCTTTGGGGATATAATATATCCACTAGAGATAGAGCTTCACTTGATTTGGTCAACTGGCTCGAAAAAAGGCCCGAATGGGGCATAATGGGCGGTCGAGATCACTTCCTTGTTGCAGGTAGGATAACGTGGGATTTCAGAAGGCTTTCCGAGGAAGAAACAGATTGGGGAAATAAGCTTCTGTTTTTACCTGCTGCTAAGAACATGTCCATGCTTGTTGTTGAATCAAGTCCATGGAATGCCAATGATTTTGGCATTCCATACCCAACATATTTCCATCCTGCAAAGGATGCTGATGTGTTTAATTGGCAGGATCGGATGAGAAAACTTGAACGGAAATGGATGTTTTCGTTCGCAGGTGCTCCACGCCCCGACAATCCCAAGTCAATAAGAGGGCAGATTATTGATCAATGTAAGAAATCCAAGGTCTGCAAGCTGCTCGAATGTGATTTTGGGGAGAGCAAGTGTCATTCTCCGAGCAGTATAATGCAAATGTTTCAGAGCTCCGTTTTCTGCCTACAACCTCAGGGTGACTCGTATACCAGAAGATCAGCTTTCGATGCCATGTTAGCCGGTTGCATACCCGTCTTCTTCCATCCAGGGTCAGCATACACCCAATATACTTGGCATCTCCCCAAGAATTTCACAAGATATTCTGTATTCATCCCAGAGGACGATATCCGCAAGAGAAACATTAGCATAGAAGAAAGGCTTGCTCAAATTTCTCCTGAGCAGTTGAAGCTAATGCAGGAGGAGGTAATCAATCTGATTCCAAGATTGGTATATGCTGATCCGCGCTCCAAGTTGGAAACTTTGAAGGATGCTTTCGATGTCTCGGTGCAAGCTATTATTGACAAGGTTACGAAGTTGAGGAAGGATATTATTGAAGGACACACCGACGATAATTTTATCGAGGAAAATAGTTGGAAATATGCGTTACTGGAAGATGGGCAGCGGGAAGTCGGACCTCATGAATGGGATCCTTTCTTCTCCAAACCGAAGGACGGGGATTCCAACGATGCATCAGCAGAAGCTGCCAAAAACTCATGGAAAAATGAGCAGAGAGACAAATCGTGAAATTCATCGGCTGCAGTTCGTCGAGCATCAGTAAACATATCATTGGTGATTTCTAATGATTTCCACAGATAAGGTCAGTAGAAGCGTAACGAAGAGCTTCCAGCATCGAACCAGGGACGTTTTATAGATTGAAAGCTCAATCATCATCCAGCCGAAGGGCTGTCCTTCAAAAACAAAGCACAGTAGATCTCTATCCTTTGCTTAATTATAGTTTTTTTTTATACAGAAATCATAGTTCTTTACATGCCTTTCCCAGTAATTCTTTGTATTGAGAGTTCTCATTCTATTGGCCAGATTTTTCCTTCTCCAAACAATGCACAAATCAAATGATTTAGATTTTAGTGTGGTGAATGCTTCACTTTTTGAAGTGCGCATTGATACTCATCTTAACAGAATGATACCAGAATTGAGCCATAATTATTTGAATTTTTTCCCCTTCAGAGAGATGTGTATTGCACTGCCGGAGTATTGATTAAATCTTCGGCTTTTCTGGATTGTTATTGGGTGGATTCATATGCAGTATGAAATAAATTACCTGTTCTAAGAGCCTGTTTGTTAGGATCCCTTGCAGTCATTCCAAATCGGTTCCAAATCGATTAGAGAAACCACAACATTGAAGTAAGAATATTCATACTCAAGCCTTTATAATGGATTTTTCATACAATCATTTTCAACTTGTGAGAAATAGTTTTATCAGTGGTTGCTCCCCTCCTCTCAAGGGAAGGGAAGGGCTGGGCAGGGCAGGGCAGGGCAGGGCAGGGCAGGGCAGGTTCCTACGTGATATTCACCCATCCGCCTGGAAACATGACTTTCAATTCGGCAACATGTTGAAATTTGTTGTTGTTCCCTTCTTTGTTCTGATTTATAATTGAAATTTGTTGGTGTTCCCTTCTTTCAAGGGCTAAGTTCTTATGTGATATTCACCTATCTGCCACTGGAAATATCACCATTCATTCGAAGACATGTCGATTTATAATGGTCGACATCGACATGTCTATAATTGAAGTTTGTTGTTGTTCTCCTTTTCTCAAGGGCAAGTTCTTAAGTGATATTCACCTGTTCACTACTATGAACAGGAAACATCATCATCCATTCGGCGACGTGCTGATTCGTGGTGCTAATTTATAATTGAAGTTCGTTGTCAATCCCCTTCCCTCAAGGGCAAGTTCTTACGTGATATTCATCTATCCACCACTGAAAACCTTACTATCCACATGCGTCGACATGCCAATTCCTGGTGTTGATTTATAATTGAAGTTCGTTATGATTCCCCTTCTCTTAAAAGCAAGTTGTTACATGATATTCACATGTTCACCACTGGAAACATCACCATCCATTCGGTGACATGCTGAAGAACAGATAAATGGGAAGAGGGAACAACTCAAGGGAGAAATTTCACCAATAATCATGGCATGAACATGATCCTTTATCAAAATGATGAAACCGATTGCGATCCCGAATGATTATTTTCCTCTCATACATGTCTGAAATATGTTTCATAAACGAATGACAGTCATGACAAATTCTAAGATTCTTCATGATCCTTATCGTCTTTTTATCCTTCAAACTAAGAAGAGCAAAAGCCACCGCTAATTTTTCACTGTGATAACTTAAGGAATGCTCTCTTTCTTCCTCGTCGATATCGTGTAGTACATTTTCCGTGCGAGGCGTGTACCCGCTGTTTCTTAGATCCCCAATAATCGAGCTCAAGAACTTCGTTATGTCCTCGGACTGTGGATGAGAATCGTCCCCAGAAACAAACTCGTGAGTCGCTTGGTCTATATTAATCAAACTACAGCCAGGTTCTTTGCCTATTCTTTTGCTTCTCATCCTACTCCTCACCGATGTCTTTTCTACCCATCTACCAGCTGCTCCATACACATTGGATAGAAGCACAAAATCGCCATCGTGCGAAGAGTTTAGCTCGGAGATCTTCGCCTTCACTTTCTCCGCTATATCGAGATTGTTGTGATTCGCACATGCTCCGAGAAGGGTCCTCCAGATGATTGAATTCGGCTTCATTGGCATTCTTTCCACAAATTCATAAGCTTCATTCAGCAGCCCTGCACGGCCAAGGAGATCAACCATGCAGCCATAATGCTCTAGATGAGGAACCATCTGATAATCCTTCGAAATGGTTTCGAAAATATCCCGTCCTTCTTTTACAAGACCGCCATGGCTACATGCTACTAAGACACTAGAGAAGGTTATATAATCTGGCTGCACCCCTGAATTCCTCATGCTGTGGAACACTGCCAAAGCCTCCCTACTGCGACCGTGGACTGCAAACCCGTTTATCAGCGTGGTCCATGTCAACACATTCCTCACCGCCATCTCTTCAAATACTACAACTGATTCATCAATGGAGCCACATCTGGAGAACATGTCAATAAGAGCAGTGCCCAAAGCAACAGAAATTTCCAAGCCAAGCTTGTCGATAAACATCCGAACCCAACGACCCAATTCTAATGCTCCCAAGTGCGAGACCGCAGATATCACACTTAGCATGGTTACCTCATCAGGCACTACTTTATCTTCCAGCTGCATTGCCTTAAACAAGGCCAAAGCCTCAGATGCATAGCCATTATTAACAAAAGAAACAATAATAGTAGACCAAGAAACAGAATCTCTCTCAGACATTTCATCAAACACCTTGACTGCAATCTCAACAGACCCACAGCAACCATAAACACTCATCAATGAATTCTGCACAAAAATATCAGAGTCCAAACCATACTTAACAATAAGGGAATGCAAGTGAAGATCCGTTTGCAATCGAGCACATGCCTTGAGAACAAATGGGAATGTGAAATGATCACAGGGGACGCCATTGCACCGCATAGAAGAGAAATAGGACAAAGAATGAGAAGGAAAATAGTGAGAATGTACTCGTATGATGGTGTTATAAGCGAAGGTATCTGGAGAAGGAATCCGAGAGAATACATAGCGAACATAAGATAAGCTTTCGGGAGCTGCAGCAGCACAGGAAAGGAGGAGGCTACGGAGAGAGCGAGGATCATTCTGCTTGCAAGTTTTGATTATACAACAATGGAGTTTGTACACATTATTCATGTATTATGAGAATTGCTCCAATCACCAAAGAACCTTTTGAGAATCTGAGATTTCTCTTTTGAAAGCCTTCGCTACCGCGCAATGAAGAGGAAGGAGCAGCGAATAAATGGAAAAAAAACACCTCCGGGTGTTATCAGCGTAATTTATAATATGGAAAAAAAAAAAAAAATTACAAAATTTGTGAATTATTTTTTATGTATTTTAAAAAATGTTTTTAAGTGATTAGAAAAAAATACCAGACAATTAAATAATTTGGGATGCCTGGTAAATAATAAAAATACCAAAAAATAAAAATAAAAATAAAAATACTAGTAAATTTTCAAAAGTTAAAAAAAAAAAGAATTTTAAAAATTTAATTTTTTTTTAAAAATACTAACGAAATTTTAAAAACAAAAATTATTATCATCAATATACGGACCCAAACCATCTATTAACCCCTCTGAAATCATATTTCAATTTTTATTTTTTATTTTTAAAGTTGAAGAGTATTAATATTTTGAAAGTTTATGAATATTTTTTTAGACATAATACTAATGATTTCATTTGTAAAATAATATTTTTTTAACTTTTAAAAAATGTTTTAATTTTTTTTATTTAAAAAAATTTAAGAATATTAATGAAAATATTTTAAAATAAAGTTATTAATTATTTTTTATTTAATTTTTTTTTTAGAAAACTTAAAAAGAATGTTTTTTTAAAAGGTATTTTTTATATAGATAAAATGGAAAATAATTTTATTAAGTCTGCCCTTTTTCGAAACTTTGGGCCCCCGATTTCAGTAGCTTGCAACAAAAGCCAGCCCACCAGTTCGCTTTACAACAATATTTGTGTAAATGAAGGGTATTTATGTAAAATGCCACTGAGCTTCTGCTTCTCTATATAAATGCGCAGAACGGAGGAACACAGAGGTTTGCGCGCGAAAGTTTGGCGTTCTTGAAGTTGCTCTGGCAAGGAGAAGGTTGATATTAGGGTTCGGAATTATCGGTGCCTTCACTATGTTGTTTGCAAACGCAGGTATGTTTCAATGTTAGATTGATCTCATCAATGGTATTTACTTTTGGATTTTGATCGGTTAATCTTTTTTCTAAACTGATGAACGTGATTTCTCTGTCGCTCAAATCGTAATTGCTTTAAGATTTCTGTTAGTCGAAATGGAAAAAAAAATCATTAAACTGGTGAACTTGATGGCTCAGTCTCATAAATCCTAATCACTGGTTAAATATGTTAAATATGTTAGATAAAATCTGAGATTTTTCTTATTTAGATTTACATGATTGAATAGATAAACACATCAAATGTATTATCAAAATTTTAGATGGCAATGTAGGAAGTGACACAGATTTAATTGGTCATTCTCGATTTTTATGATAAGTTAGATATTAAATAGGTAAATCTTATTTAGATTTACATGATTGAATAGACAAACACGTCAAATGGATAACCAAAATTTTAGATGGCAACTTGTAGTACAAAATTTTAGATGGTAATTTTGTATACCAGTTGGCCACTCTCCAACATTTTTAGGATAAGTTAGATATTTAAATATGTAAATCTTATTTAGATTTACATGATTGAATAGACAAACACGTCAAATGTATTACCAAAATTTTAGATGAAAATTTGGTAGGAAGTGGCACAGATTTAGTTGGCCACTCTCCGCTATTTTTATAGGATAAATTAGATATTTAAATAGGTAAATCTGAAGAAATAACTACCTCAGCAAAAGTTTTCAGCAATTATCTATGTTATTTTTTCCCGTCAAACGATTTTCTCTCACCGAAAAGGATTTCAGTAGCCTATTATCCTTGCCAATTGTCGAAAAACAACAAAATAGTCGACTAGGAGCAAGTTGATTACTATAAACTAATAATTGCAATTATTCAGTCTCAAAATCCTAACTATCAACAACAAAATATATATATATATATATATTCAATGAAGTATTTAAGATAATTTATAAAGATAATCGTTCCAAAAATTTATCTTGGATTGATTCTTTATCGTTATGGAATTCTTGGATTATAAGTGTATTTATAGTAAAAATGGAAAGAATATAAAGAATTTGTATAAGACATTCTAATGAGAGTGTGCACAAAGTTAATTAAAAAATCTAGTTTATTTATGGCCTCAATCCATCAAACCCAAATGGTAGACTTCTAAATCAATTTAATCATAAAATATTTGCTTTGGTTGGGGCAAGTCTAGGGTACTTCATCAAAAAAAAAAAAAGGTTTGAAAAAGTTAAATATTTGAAATTGCTTATTATACTTCAGAAATAAAAATAATTTACGAAAATTTGTTGATGAGTAAAAAAAAGTATAATTAAATGTATGCATTATGCACTTAGTACGCCCAAGGACTTAGCATTATAGTCTATAATATATAGGAACGAATACTCGAGGCAATGCTGTGCCACTGGTTTGTTTCCATCTAAACCTCTTCTCTCTATACCCATTCATTCACGTCCTTCCATTCCTTGCTGATCTCTGCTCAATTGTTCTCTGCATAAAATCAAAACCCAAGGTAATGCAATGGAAATGGAACCTAACGAATGAGGTAACAATCAATTATTAACTTATCTATTTTATTACCATTTTAGTTTTGCATTTTATTTTTATTTTTATTATATTAAATTATATATATATATATATATTTTTTAACAATTTAGTCACTGAAGTTTTAAAATTTCCTAATAAATCTTTAATTAAATCTTTAATTTTAATTGTGATATGTTAAGCATGGTCTAAAATTAACACTCATTTAAAAGAGTTAAAGAGGTTAAAAGTCTTATTAGACATCAAATTCAATTTTATATCCATATATTATTTTTTAAAAAAATATTAATTTAAGTATTTCAAAGATGTATTAAATATTTTTAAAGTTTAGAGATTTTTAAACATAAAATTAAATTTAAATATCTAATTGTAATTAGACTTTTTTTTCTTTTGATAATTAATTTATAATTGAGGTTTTAAACTTCGTACTCTTATTATTTTTAAATAAAAAAACTATTATCCAATATTAGGGGTACAGAGTTGAGATGGATTAGGTTGAGTTGGAGTTTTAGGATGAACCCAAAATTTTTTACAACCCAACCAAGTCTCTATTTTTGGGTTATGAGTTATTAAAAAACTAAATTTTTTTAAAAGCTTTTATTTATTCAAAATTCATAATCATTCCACAAGTGGGAAAATTATAGCATAACAAAAATAAAAAACTACTACAAAAAAATATTTCACTTCAACTAAAAAACTACTACAAAAAATATCTTACTTCCGTTGAAAGAGACTTATTTATACATGATACAATTAGACATAAATAAATTAGAAATCTCAATTTTAGAATAAAATCTTCAAATAGTTCTATTTGAAGCTAAAACGATCAAAGATATTTTGAGAAACTTTTTATAAAATTTGGCATTTAAAATTATTTACTTTCCAAAAAAAAAAAAAAAAAAAGACATAAAAATATGATAGATTAAAAGTAAAAAATTCTTTAAAAAATTATTACCCATTTCATTTAAAAATTAGTAAAATAAAACCAATAGGCTTTAAAATTATTTAAATATATACATAATCTATGATTATTGAATCCAATGGTTCAATATATTTTTTATTATTTATTTAAATATATGCATAATCTATGAATATTGAACGCAATACATTTTTACTTCCTAATAAGTTAAATGTATATGATTATATAGTAGGAAACATTGAGGATCTCAAAAGAGTTTATAAAATAAGAAAATAATTAAAATACATATAAAAAATAATGTATATAGTCTGAAGTATTAAATAATACAAAATATTGAAGTGCTTTTTTTATCTTCAAGGAGAGAATTTTATGAAATAAAAAAATAATATTAAAAGAGATGTTTATGACAAAAATATTAAAAATAATGTATATAGGTAGAATGTAACTGGAGTATACGCAAGATATATTAAAATATTTTATAAGATAGGTTCAGTTTCAGTTGATCCAGAATTTTATCTAATAAATCCAAAACTCAGACGGAATATATATATATATATATATTTAAAGCAAGTCATTCCGACTCCATTTTGAAAAAAAAAAATGTTTTAGTAGTTATTAACAATTAAAAGTAATGACGATGTCTATTTTTATATATGGTTAAACAAAAAGGGCAGAGAGTGATAGTAAAGAAAAGAAAAAGCATTAAAAAAATTTGTATGCAAATGAAATAAATAAACAGTGAGATAGAAATGAACCTGGATGGAAACAAGTAAATGGCTCAGATTGAACTTAGCATGAGGCTGGCACGCGGTTTTGGTTCCTCATCCTTCAAGTTGGTCCATTTCTGAATCATAGTGCTGATGCAGCCCACGTATTAATTTATGGGGAAAATATACACGGCAGAATATATATATATACACACAATGCTTGGAAATAGAAGATTCTAGATTGCATACTAAGTTTAGAAAAATTTAGATCTCAAAAGGTTGATGTTATATTTATTTATTTGTTTCTCAAATATTAAAAAGCTGTGGTTTTATGGCCTTTCAAAGTTCAATTCTATCGTGATTTACACTATTTATTTGTACAATTTAAGTGAGATTTAAGTCTATACTATGGTTGTGAAACAAGCCTCATTTACGGATTACTGGTAACTGGTAACTGAAGTTTTTATTGGCTTTGACCAAAAGAGGAGTCGACAGACCAGACCCACTTTGAAAGAGAGGTGTTAATGCAGGCTTTGGAAATTAAGGACAGAGAATTAGTTCTTTTGTAGGAAAATATTGAGATTGCAAGAACAAAGAGTGTTGACAAAGTTGGAGGGATGACAATAGAGATGGAGAATTTTGGAAGGTCAGAGAAAGAGTCGAGTTTTATTATGATTATGAGCCTGAAGGAAACAAATGGGATCGATGCATCATCCAGTGGTTTCTCTCTCTCTCTCTCTCAAGGGACCTATCAGGAAAGAATGTTCAGGTACATATAACTTACTGTAGAATACGAGGAAAGCCTCCATATATAGTTATAACTTCAAATTTTTTGTGGGAGAATACTCTTAATCAGCTTTAGAGAAAAATCTGTAGAATATTCTTAATCAACTTTAGAGAAAAATCTGTAGATTGTTTTGTGTTGGTGTTACTTGAGGTTCGACTTTCAGTTTGCTTGTCTTAGGGATTACACTCATCTACTACTGTTCCAAGAGATGGGAAGATTCATATGGCATGCCGATGTTTAGGATTTCTTATGGGGCGGTGGGGAGAGAGAAATAATAGTACTTTTTTTTTAGAGAGGCAGAGCGGGACAACAAGGATGTTCCGACTCTAGCTGGATTTTATGTTTTTCTTTAGGCGTTGATGGCTAATTCTTTTTGTAATTATCTTCTAGGCCTTATTTTGCTTATTGGACCAAGGAGAAATCCCTCTTTTTGTGGACTTGTATTCTTTCATTCTTCCTCCACGGAAAGTGTGGTTCGTTATAAAAAAAAAAAAAACTATTGTTCCACATGTGAATTTGGATCAACCAGACCACAGGATGTGAAAGGGAAAACCCATAGTTTGTTGAACACAACGGTTTGTAGGCAATACTCGCACTCTTTATTAAAGGAGAAAATATTATAAGACACAAGGTAGAAACTGTTAGAATTGGTCAATCCATTAGAATAGCTTGAAGTTAGTCATGCCATAAGAATAGGCTTACTTCGTTAGTTTCCTATGAAATCGGATCTATTAGTTAATCTTTTGCCAATATAAATAGAATATGTCCTCAATAGTGTGAGGCACAGTTTTGCATAAACTTGATATGGTATCAGAGCAGAAATAAGATCCACGAGATCCATAGCCTCTGCTGTTAAACATGTCAATCCCAACAAACACAATGTCTTCTCCGTCGATCAGTCAGGTGATTAGTGTTAAGCTTACACAAGAAAATTATCTACTGTGGTCTACCCAAATCCTTCCCTACTTGCGTAGCCAAAACCTTGTTGGTTTTGTGGATGGATCCATGCCTGCACCAAGCCAGACGATCGCCGTTGAACCAAGTGAAGAAACAGGGAATCGCAAAATTATCATCAACCCTGAGTTCACAGTCTGGTACCCCCAGGACCAGCTGGTACTCAGCCTCATCAACTCATCAGTCACTGAGGAGGTTCTCAGCACGATGGTTGGAATCACCACTGCACGAGAAGCCTGGATTACGCTGGAGCGACAATTTGCTTCCACATCTCGAGCAAGAGCAATGCAGATCCGTATGGAACTCTCTACTATCCAGAAAAAGGACATGACAATTGCTGACTACTTTCGTAAAGTAAAACATCTTGGTGATACACTTGCTGCCATTGGCAAGCGAATAGAGGATGAAGAACTCATCGCCTACATGCTGCAAGGACTTGGTCCAGATTATGATCCTCTAGTCACAAGCATTACAACCAGAACAGATGTATACACTGTCAGCGACGTGTATGCTCACATGCTGAGCTATGAGATGCGGCACTTGCGTAAGGGTACATTTGAGCAACTTTCATCTGCTAACAATGTCAATAGGATATCCATTCGTGGAGGTGCCAATGGAGGTCGAGGTAGTCGCGGTCGTAGTCGTCAGTTAAATAGTGGTCATGGACAATCAAGGCGTACTGTGAACAATCCTGGACGTCAACCATCAAAGACACAAAGCAGCTCAGGCATTGTCTGTCAGATTTGTGGTAAGCCCAATCACGATGCTTTGCAATGCTGGCACAGATTTGATCAGGCATATCAAGCCGAAAATAATCTCAAACAAGCAGCTTTGGCAACTAGTGGATACACTAGTGACACAAACTGGTATGTTGACACTGGAGCCACAGATCATATCACCAATGACCTAGAGAGGCTTACCACCAGAGAACGCTACACTGGCACCGACCAAATTCAGGTTGCAAATGGCGCAGGTTTGTCTATCTCTCATATTGGGAATTCATTAATTTCTGGTTCATCTCTTGTTCTGAAACATATCCTATATGCTCCTAAAATCAATAAGCACCTAATTTCAGTACAAAGACTAGCATCTGATAATAATGCTGTTGTAGAATTTCACCCAAACTATTTTTTGGTTAAGGACCGAGTCACGAAGAAACTCCTGCTCCACGGTAGATGTAAGAATGGCCTATACGTTCTACCGCATAATTTCAGTCAAGCCTTGCTGACAGCCAAACTTTCGAAAGAACAATGGCACAGAAGGCTAGGGCACCCTGCATCTCCAATTACCATTAGAATTCTACAAGATAATAATTTAGCTATAGATACTAATATTCCCTCTTCCTCAATTTGTAATGCTTGTCAATTAGGGAAAGCACATCAATTGCCATTTGGTTCTTCTCAGCATGTATCTACAGCACCCCTTCAATTAATTCACACTGATGTATGGGGTCCATCCATTGCGTCAGTAAATAATTCCAAATATTATGTTTCCTTTGTTGATGATTTTAGTCGTTATGTTTGGATTTACTTTCTGAGATGCAAATCTGATGTTGAGTCTGTGTTCCTTCAATTTCAAAAACATGTTGAAACTATGCTAAATACCAAAATTCGCTCCGTCCAATCAGATTGGGGGGGTGAATACCATCGGTTACACAATTATTTCAAATCCACAGGCATTGAACATCATATCTCCTGTCCTCACACACACCAGCAGAATGGGTTAGTCGAAAGAAAACACAGACACATTGTAGAAACTGGCCTTGCTTTACTCGCTCAAGCCAACATGCCTCTATCCTACTGGGATGAAGCTTTCAACACAGCTTGCTTTCTTATAAATAGAATGCCCAGCCGAACCATACAACAAGACACACCACTTCATAAATTGTTTGGTAAAAGTCCAGACTACTCCATGCTTAGGGTGTTTGGCTGTGCTTGCTGGCCTAATTTAAGGCCTTACAACAACAAGAAACTGAGTTTCAGAACTACTAGATGTATATTCTTGGGTTATAGTTCTTCTCATAAGGGATATAAATGCTTAAATAGAAGTACAGGACGTATTTACATCTCTAGAGACGTGGTTTTCGATGAAAATATTTTTCCTTTTGAAGAATCTAAGCCACCAAACAAAACCACAAATCCACATCATCCTGTTCTACTTCCAGCCTTAGCCAAACTTGCTAGTTTTTACACTGAAAATGCTCTTACAGATATTGAACCAGTTGTTAGTAATTCCCATATGAATGATGGTCAAACTGATAATATTGCTAGTGACAACTTGTCTGGTGTCAGCTTATCTTCTGCAGATAATACAAGAAGTTCAGAGGAAATTGCAGAATATGAAGCTGAGAGCAGTTCGATCAATGCTCAAAACCAAACTCATGAACATGTGTCTGATCAACCAACTGAAGCAGCTAGTCAACATCCAATGCGAACAAGGTTGAGAAATAACATTGTACAAGCTAAACAATTCACTGATGGAACTATCAGATATTCAGAAACCTCAAGAAAATTCGCAAGCGCTGTAACTATCACAACTCCGATCATAGAGACTGCTACTGAACCTCGAAACCTGCAGGAAGCCATGCAACATCCAAGATGGAGAGGAGCAATGAATGATGAGCTCTCAGCGCTAAAACGAAATGCCACTTGGGATCTAGTTCCACCCAAACCTGGAATAAATCTCATTGATAGTAAATGGGTGTATAAAGTGAAAAGAAAAGCAGATGGGTCAGTTGAAAGATTAAAAGCAAGATTAGTTGCCAAAGGATTCAAGCAAAGATTTGGTGTTGATTACACTGATACTTTTAGCCCTGTGATCAAACCGTCAACAATCAGGGTCATTCTTTCGCTAGCAGTAACCAAGGGCTGGAATATGAGACAAGTTGATATCCAAAATGCATTTTTGCATGGAATTCTGAAAGAGGAAGTGTACATGCGACAACCACCAGGATTTCAAGACTCAGCCAAACCAAAGAATTACATATGCAAGCTCAAGAAAGCCCTTTATGGCCTGAAACAAGCCCCAAAAGCTTGGCATTCAAGGTTGACTGGAAAACTTATTGAGTTAGGCTTCAAGGCTTCAGTAGCTGATTCATCTCTTTTTATTCTCAAAAACAGAGAGATAACTATCTATATGCTCATCTATGTTGATGATATAATTATTGTGAGCTCCTCTGATCAAGCAACCGAAAGGTTGATTCAGAAATTGAAAATAGATTTTGCAGTAAAAGATTTGGGTGATCTTGAGTATTTTCTGGGTATTGAAGTCAAGAAAACACGAGATGGTATCATACTGTCACAGAGACGATATGCTTTAGATTTGTTGAAAAGAGTAAACATGGAAAAATGCAAACCTATGTCTACACCAATGGGTTCTGCTGAAAAATTATTCAGAGAACAAGGAATACCCTTATCAGCTGAAGAACAATTCAAATACAGAAGTACAGTGGGAGCACTACAATATTTGACAATGACTAGGCCTGATTTGGCATTTGCTGTCAATAAAGTGTGTCAATATCTTCATACACCTACTGATGCTCATTGGGGTGCTGTGAAGAGAATTCTTCGTTATGTTAAAGGCACACTAGCATTAGGAGTGAAAATTCAGAAATCAACCATGATGTTGTCGGGGTTTTCTGATGCTGATTGGGCTGGTTGTCCCGATGATCGACGTTCAACTAGCGGCTTTGCTGTATTTCTTGGAGCAAATCTAATCTCATGGAGTTCCAGAAAACAGGCTACAGTGTCAAGATCAAGCACCGAAGCAGAATACAAGGCCATTGCGAATCTTACTGCAGAAATGATTTGGATCAAGTCATTACTGAAGGAACTGGGCGTGTATCAATCAAAGGCTCCTCGCCTCTGGTGTGACAACCTCGGAGCTACATATTTAACTTCAAATCCAGTATTTCATGCTAGAACGAAACATATTGAAGTTGATTTTCATTTTGTTCGAGAACAAGTAGCACGTAAAGCAATGGAAGTTCGGTTCATTTCATCAAGTGATCAAGTAGCTGATATCCTGACAAAACCACTGTCTAAAACTCCTTTTACTACACATTGTAACAATCTCAACATGTACAAGACTTGTTGGGATTGAAGGGGACTGTTAGAATTGGTCAATCCATTAGAATAGCTTGAAGTTAGTCATGCCATAAGAATAGGCTTACTTCGTTAGTTTCCTATGAAATCGGATCTATTAGTTAATCTTTTGCCAATATAAATAGAATATGTCCTCAATAGTGTGAGGCACAGTTTTGCATAAACTTGATAGAAACTACTGCCTTCTGTCATTTTTCTAAAATATATAAATAATTGGCTCATACAATTATTGGGTTTGATCTTATTGGACTAATGATGATATTTTAACATAGTTGCCAGTTTGACATCCGATCTTACACAAAATTATTAATAATACAAAATAAGGTAGGAAACTATGGCCTCCTGCAGTAATGCTACAGGAATGACAGAAAAGCACAGGAAAACGTACAATTGAAAGCCTTTATAGAGACGAGGTATCTTGTCTAATCTTTGGCAAGACAACAAAAGTATCACTTACAACTGCTTCAACGGGTTTTTTTTTTCCTTTTTTTTTTCTTTTTTTTTATAAATAAATTCCCCAATTACAATCAAAGAAGATGTCTGCTTGGTTTTCTTGAGGGAAACAGTTAGGGCATGGGGAGTAGAGACCGAAGTCGATACTCCAATTTAGGACAGTGACGTTACAAAGAAGCCATCATATAGAAAAACAATAGGTGAAGGCACAGACAATGGCATGGGAAATTCCGGCATTCAAAACCTAAATTTGCTTTCGAACTTCAAAAGGCATTGGAGTAGAGGGAAATTAGATGCTTAGTGCAAGGTTTGAGATAATGGATCACTATAGTAATCTGAAAGTTGTGGCCTTGGAATGCGAGTTCGAGGAAAGTAAAACTACTTTTATGGAGGCATAAGACACTAAATGCACTATAATTCATTGAATGGCAACTAATAATTAATAACATATAGAAAAACTATGAAGCAGTTCAATAACAATAATTTAATCGTGTGCTGAATCGAAATCTAGCTTAGAAACTTTAGGAAGTGAACAAAAAAATTGGGAGCAATAATGCTGAGGTACTAACCTCATAGGCTTTACCCGTAAATTTCATTTAATCTCCACGAGCAAAAAGCTAATGCAAGCTGAAGATGCACCTGTCAAAAGGCTATTAGTTTTGTATTCACTTGTGTTTGAATATCCAACACATGGCAAATGCCAAAATCTAATAGAAGGCTAAAAATGTTCTTATCCTAAATGTCTAATAGCAGATTTTTTTTTTTTTTTCTTTTTGTAATACGTACAGTAAGATATCGAAATATTGAAAATAAAAATTGCTAAAAAGTTGACAAAATTATTAAGAAAAATTACAAGATTTGATTAAGGAAAATAATTTTTCAGAGCATATTGCGACTGGAGTGCTCCTAATTGTATGTAACAACCAATTCCAAGTTCAGGTCACAATGTTTGAAGCAAATTGATTTTTTATCGTATAAACCTTTTGTAATAATACCTTTAACAAGACATATTATTCTACAAATACGAAAATGTTGCAATCATATATCTTAAGCTTGAGAGAAACTATGATGTCTGAGATTCAGAAAATAATATGCTCGCTAAATAACTATTTAAAATACTGATTCACATGTTAAACTTAATTAAATGTCACGCAAGTAAAACGAATTACACATTTACATCCATAACTATAAGTGTTATTCCTAACTATTCAGTTCACATATCAACAGAAACCACCGAAAACTGAAAGTCGTCATCAAAATTTTAACAAGGAAGATCTCAACAATCATTGACGTGGATCAAGTGATTAAGCGAGATGGTTTAAAACAAGACACAAGTCAGCAATCAGTGAAAAAGCCGATCAACTATAACACCTGATCTAATCTTGTCGATGAAGAAAAACTTGTGACAAACTATGTGATACTGAGAAATCACGATCATTAATTTAAGAAACGATCTGATTTCCTCGACTTATCAAATCCTACAGTAATGATGAACTATGAGACTTCACAATCACGACCGTTTAGTTTAGTGAACTGTTTCATTTCCTCTCGACTAATCGAAATCGTAACGCAAAGAAATCATGAGACCTAGCAATCACCATCGTTAATTTAGTGAACTGTTTGATTTCCTCGTCGACTAATCAAAATCGTACGGTAAATAAATTAGAAGACCTATCGATCTATTTGATTTCAGCGACAAACCAAAATCCTACGGTGACAATGAGACCTATCTATCACCATTGCTGATTAAAGAAGAAATCGTTTAAATCACCAACGCACTAAACGAATCTGTAAGAGATCATCCATCCGACGTACCTGATTGCTTGGATGTCGGATTCGTGAGCCGATAATTTCGAACCCTGAATTCATCCCATTTCTCATCGGAGCAATCTCCAAAACCACAATTTTTCGCGCGTAGATTTTGTGTCGTTCGACTAGCTTCCAAATTCCCGCTCTTGGCCTTATATAGTGTTACGGCACGGAAACGGCTGGAGCTACGTTATATTCACGCTAAAACGACGCCGTTTAACTGATGGGCTCAAAAAAGCCCAATTTCTTTTCACACCCGAAAACTGATCTCTAGTGCCATACTATGGGCCCGGCCCAAATAAATTTTTCTTTTTATTAATTGAATTTTTGAATAACCGAAAAAATTGAGTCAATTCAATATTTTTTTTTAATCAAAATAGAATTATTCAGCATAATTAAAAAATATGAGATTATAACTATGCATAATTAAAAAATATTAAATAGGATTTAAAAAAAATAGATAATTTTAGATTATGAATTCTATTCGAATTGAAGGTCATAGTCCTACTTTTTCAACCATGCACGTTCGTGATTTTGACACGCTCACGACCAAGTTTAAGGGGAATCAAGCCCCATATATATTTTTCACCCTGTCTTTGTGGCTTCATCGGAATCTAGGCGAGGTTTGTCTTCGCTTACCGAACATCGCTTGTAAGGATTCAAGCTTGTTCGACCACACACGTTGTCTGCGCGTGCATGTTCAATCATCTGCGACACAACCTACTTGCCTCTATTAGGCCAAGTCATTCGACTCGACTTTGTCTCTACTCGAGATTGAGTCACCAATCTAACCAAACTAGGCGGGTAAGCCTGTAATTGCAAGAGAAGGTGAAGTAGCCAAGAAAAGAAGAACAAAGAGCGTGTTGCATTAAATGACAGCAAATCTATGTTCCTTCTTACCTTGCTTCAAATTCTCTACGCATACGCTCATTTGGGAAACAAAAATTCACACAACTTTCTGAATTCAAATCCTTTTAAAGCTCACCATTACTTCTCGTGAAGCTTTGAGCAATCAGCAATGGCTTCAGCTCCACCATCGCCCAAATTTGTAAGTCTCTCTCTCTCTCTCTCTCTCTCTCTCACTCTCTCTCTAAAAAACAAGGGATCCTCGTGATGAAGAGCTCTTATACTTCACGAGTTTCATATTTTACACTCAGAATTTCAGAAATGCTTCCTCAATGGAATCCTAGATTTGAATTCTCTTGGCTTCCTCCTTCAAATACCGATCAAATTTTGGTCCAAAATCATGAATCTAACTTCAAGAATCAGTGTCCTGTTGGCTGTAGAGATTCATGGATTTCAACTCCCAAATGGTTTTTTCCACCATTTTCCTCTGTTTTCTTTGGCTTCAAGTTCAAGCAAACGCTTCCAATCTCCAAACTTACATGATTCAACTCCATCCACAAGGATTAACCAGCTCTGTTTTCGAATCTAAGCTTCAATGGCATCTTTCTTTTCTTGAACAAACGCTATCTGTTGAAGAAGACTGTTCTTCTCGCTTGCTTTATTCATATTCTAACGCCATGGAAGGATTTGCAGCTCAGTTATCTGAAACTGAGCTGGAGTATTTGAAGAAGTTGCCTGATGTTGTGGCTGTAAGAGCTGATAGAAAGTATGAAATTCAGACAACTTATTCACATAAGTTCTTGGGGCTTAGTGTTTGCACACAAGGTGTTTGTTATAAGTCCTCAATGGGCCAAGGGGCAATCGTTGGGGTTCTTGACACGGGAGTTTGGCCTGAGAGTCCAAGCTTTAGTGATTCCAAAATGCCCCCAATTCCACAAAAATGGCGAGGGGGTTGCCAAGAAGGGCAAGATTTTAATTCCTCAAGTTGTAATAGGAAACTCATTGGTGCTAAGTTCTTCATCAAAGGACATCATGTGGCTTCGTCGCCGCCTTCCGATATCGTCCAGGAATATGTCTCCCCAAGAGACTCCCATGGCCATGGGACTCACACTTCTTCTACAGCTGCTGGAGCTTTGGTTGCCGGAGCGAGCGTATTCGGTAATGGAGTGGGTGTGGCGCAGGGGATGGCCCCGGGCACCCACATTGCGGTGTACAAGGTTTGCTGGTTTAGTGGCTGCTATAGCTCTGATATTGTAGCGGCCATGGATTCTGCAATAAGAGATGGTGTTGACATTCTCTCCCTTTCGCTTGGTGGCTTCCCACTTCCATTTTTTGATGACAGTATCGCCATTGGCAGTTTTCGAGCAATGCAGCATGGCATCTCAGTCATTTGTGCAGCAGGAAACAATGGCCCAACTCAAAGCTCTGTCGCCAATGTAGCTCCTTGGATCACCACCATTGGTGCAGGCACGCTCGATCGAACATTCCCAGCTATAGTTCGACTAAGCAATGGCGAACCCATTCCCGGTGAATCAATGTACCCTGGAAACAAGTTCAATCAAGCTACCAAGGAGCTTGAGTTGGTTTACTTGACTGGAGGGCAAATGGGAAGTGAACTTTGCTTGAAAGGGTCTCTTCCACGAGAACAAGTAGAAGGAAAAATGGTGGTTTGCGACCGTGGCGTCAACGGCCGATCCGAAAAGGGGCAGATTGTGAAGGAATCTGGAGGAGCTGCTATGATCCTTGCAAATACAGAGATAAATCTGGAGGAAGACTTGGTCGATGTTCATGTTTTGCCGGCCACGTTGATCGGATTTGCGGAGGCGAATCGGTTAAAAGCTTACATTAACACAACAACCAATCCAAAAGCCAGAATCCAATTTGGAGGAACTGTGATAGGAAGAACAAGAGCTCCATCTGTAGCTCAGTTTTCATCAAGAGGACCAAGCCCCACAAATCCTTCAACGCTCAAACCTGATGTAATTGCTCCTGGGGTCAACATTATAGCAGCTTGGCCTCAAAACCTTGCTCCAACTGGCCTTCTAGAAGATTCTAGAAGGTCAAACTTCACTGTCATGTCAGGAACATCCATGGCTTGTCCCCATGTCAGTGGAATTGCAGCTCTAATCCAATCAGCTCATCCAAAATGGACACCGGCAGCTATCAAATCAGCCATCATGACAACCGCTGACGTTACCGATCGTTTCGGGAAACCGATTCTCGATGGCAACAAACCAGCTAGTGTTTTTGCAATGGGAGCTGGTCATGTAAACCCAACAAGAGCCATTGATCCTGGCTTGGTCTATGATATCAAGCCATTTGATTATGTCATTCATCTTTGTGTTCTTGGCTACACTCATTCAGAAATCTTCATCATTACCCACATGAATGTGAGCTGCCACAAAGTTCTTCAGATGAACAAAGGCTTCACTCTGAACTATCCCTCCATGGCTGTTGTTTTTAAGCACGGGACGACGAGTAAGATGGTTTCAAGACGGTTGACGAATGTCGGGAGCCCGAATTCCGTCTACGAAGTGGAAGTAACCGCGCCTGAAGGAGTGAGCGTTCGAGTTAAGCCTCGGCGCTTGGTGTTCAAACATGTGAACCAAAGTTTGAGTTATAAGGTATGGTTTATGTCTGAGAAGAGAAGAGAAGGAAGAAAGGTGAGCTCTACAGAAGGGCATTTGACATGGCTCCATTCTGAGAACAGTAAATACAGAGTAAGAAGCCCCATTGTAGTGACTTGGAAGAACTAAAGGTATGTTTTATGAACCACAACGATACTGATATTGAGTCACAGACGGGTTAGTTTAATAATTTTCACTAATATCTACTACAGATTTCTTCCCTTGAAATTTTTTGTGTAGAAAATCTGCCTTTTGCCATCTGGATTGATTTACTTGTCTTCCAGTTAACGAAGATTTCATTTTAAGGATTTGGTATTTTATATATCTCTTGCATGGTCGAAATTAAATTATAGATTCAGCACTCGGAATATATAGATCGTTATAAATCGTTAGGAATTGTGTGATAGTGACCGAGAATGGAATTTGGATTTCCACCTGTTCTGGGTCGTCACTATATCGCTTTAGTTCTAAACTTCCATCTGACATTTTGAAGGATTTGTGAGATCCTACATCGGTTGGAGAGGGGAACAAAACATTACTTATAAGGGTGTGGAAACCTCTCTCCCTAATAGAGGTGTTTAAAATCTGTGAGGCTAACTACTATACAAAATGGGCCAAAGCAGAGAATATTTGCTAGTGGTGGGTTTGAATTGTTACAAATAGTATAAGAGCCAGATACCGGGCGGTGTGTGTTAGGGAGGACGTTGGGTCCCCAAGGGAGGTGGATTGTGAGATCCTACATCGACTGAAGAGGGGAACGAAACATTCCTTACAAGGCTGTGGAAACCTCTCTCTAATAAATGCCTTTTAAAAACTATGAGACTGACGGCAATACGTAAAGGGCTAAAGCGAATAATGTTGTTCTTTCTCTACCATGCAAAAACATTCAAAAGACAGGCCCTCCATGAGAGATATAATAACAATGCTTGGAGAAGCAAAACCAAGGAGAAAAGGCAACGGTGGCAATGAAGGATTGGGAACCAACAAAGAGAAGCTAATTTTCAGCACTTCTCCTGTAAATGGCCTTCTGTAGGATCAAGAAGCAATGGAGTTCTCCATTATGATCCTTTTACATATATATATATATATATTAGCGTGACTCTGATACCAACTATCACGGTCTTACTTTTTCAACCGTGCGATGTCGTGATCTTAACACGCTCACGACCAGTCTTAAGAGAAATCAAGCTCCATATATATTTTTCGCCTCAGTTTTGTGGCTTTATCGAACCTCAAGCGAGGTTTGTCTTCACCAACTGAACATTGCTTGTACAAAATCCAAGCTTGTTCGACCACACACACGGCATCTATGTATGCATGTTCAATCGTCTGCGACACAACCGACTTGTCTTTACATTAAGCCAAGTCATTCGACTCGACCTTGCCTCTACTCGGGGCCAAGATCTCTCAATGGAACATCACATATGTAGGTATGTATAAGCAATACAGGCATTATTGTAATCCTTGTTTATTATCATTGAAATTCCAAAATTTTCCCTGTTTACAGACACAACCATTCAGTGAGAAGAAAACTAGAACAAAAAAGCACTTTCCCAAGGCATAAAAAGGCTTAAGCAGAGCAGTATTTGCTTAAATATTCACAACATAAACATTCCCACATCTGTATATGTGTAGGGCTTTAT